CACAAGAGTTGTCGCGACAGTAACTTACCATTTTATAAAAAAAAAAACAATTGTCACTCTTTTGCTTTCCAAAAGCTACTTCATATTGTGAGACATGAATAAATTGACGTTTTGGTGGTAGAAACTTTTTTCTGTTATTTATTAAACACGAAAGAATGTTTCCTATCGTGTTTGATTTGCGGGCGCATCTTTTTTTTTATTTGGTGACACCATCGTTCCATTCATAAATGAATTTAAGGGACGGACAACTATCTTTTTAGAGGGTGGGGAGGGGTTGGGCAATTTCCCGCAAAAATTTCCTGCACAGCAAAAAACTGCTGAAAAACAAAATCATGCAAGGGGAGCCATGGGAAAGAATATCGAGCAAGTTAGAAAAGCCAGTAGCACTCCCTCGTGAGCAATGTATCATTCCATTTCTAGGGTCATCAAGGTAGATAACACCGAAGTAGCCTAAAGCGAGCGAAGTAAACGAAACTGCGAGATCAAGAACCTCCTTTTTTGCTCACTCCCTCTCCACGTTTCCCATTTTTTTGCTCACCCCTGGCGCGCTCGTTTGCTCACTTGCTTGCACGATATCCCCGACTGGAAAATGGAAAGGAAACGTTTGCTACGCAGGCCTACACCGAAAGAAAAACTCGGCAGTACAGCCATGCAAGTGCAATGCTACTATAGCCCATATTTGCCGTGATCTATTGGGTGCACGCCGATTGAATCAATCCATGATAAGGCTAGGCCTGTCCCGATTGTGCTAGGCAACTTTTTGGGCAAAAAAGGTGCCGAGTATAACAGGTAACTAGCAACACCAAGCAAGGTCTGCCTTTCTGAGCAACATTTAATGAAAAATGTAGGTTTTGAGCACATATCAAGCACGAAAAAATAAAACGATTTCATACCGAAAACTTTAATTTGTGTGCGAATTTCTTGAATGTTTATCAACTTTGTGAAGTTTGAACGCATAACCTGTCACTTGACAACGTTCGGCAAGACGTCAAATGAACCATGTGTTTTGTTCCGTTAGACTAAGAGTGTCATTAAATTTCGCCCATATTTACGAGCAACTCTTTAAGGCTAAGTTTCAAGCTATTTTTCTTGACCGATGTTAGCAATTTTTGAGAAGAACGAAAATTAAAGCTTTTAATTAACGTTTYTATAAAAAATATCAAGAAATTTAGGTAGCAACTTTTGAAATTTAGGTAGCAACTTTTTGGATTTTTGGCAATTTTTTAGCAACTTTCCAGCATTTTACGAGCAAAATCGGTACAGGCCTACTTAAGACATGACAGGCAAATACACTCCATGGCAAATAAAATAATCATGTATAATCCATCAAATATTTTCGTCCGCGTGTGATTGGTCTAAACGCGTCACGTAACCGAATATACCCCAGCTAGAACTGGGGAATATCCGAATGATATTCCCCAATTTGCAAAACTGCGCGTGTTGGGAAAAAATTGAAGGATAGTAAACACAATAGCCTCCATTTGGCGCGAAAATATGCTCCGATATTTGTCCTCGGACATTTTCTGTTCCTCAAAGCTCACAGTTTTCCTCGAGCTACGCTCTCGGAAAACTGTTCGCTTCTCGGAACAAATAATGCTCGCGTTCGCGGATAAAGATCCGAGCGTATTCTCACGTCAAATGGAGGCTATCGTTTATTTATCCGGGGACTAGCCCACCTGTAGGCTCGATTATCAGCCGCTGTTCGTTAAAGGAGCCCTCTCTCCGATCCTTCCTTCAACTTCTTCTAGGAAACACTTCTAGCCTATCCCACTTGGCCCCCCGTTTCGTATAGCCTTGAGTAGTTAGGCGATTTTCGCACGAGATAGCTTTGTTTCAACGGCTCTAACGAAAGAGGCCAAGCTGTCTGGAGAATGGTCAGCAGTCTTATTATATGGTTAGCTCCGTGAGCGGGCAAGATAAATCAAATCCTGCACTGTGATTGGCTACCCGAGCGGGCAAGATGGAGCTATCTTGCCCGTTCGGGACTACCCGCCGTATCCCGCAAGAAAAATTTCCCCGAAAGCCATATAATAAATCCTTTATTGACCAAGCTTGTTCGGTCAAGATGGCTGGATATTGGTGTCGTTCTTTTTTTGCGAGTTTATGAATCTCGACTCCGTCTCGGTCCATAAACTCGCAAAAAAAGAACTTGGCCAATATCCAGCCATCTTGACCTCACACTTGGTCAATAACCCATATATGTTGGTACTTTGCCGCTCGCGAAAATTTTCTGCCGCCGAAGCAAATCCACCCTCGCGCAAAATCCCCCCGGCTATGCGCTCCGTTTTTCTCTTCTCTTTACTTCCTGCTCACCTCTTTACCCCTTACCCCAGGCAGAGGCCCTTCACCCGAGCTGCAACTTGCCAAAAAATACCACTCTGTACGGGAAATTGGAAGGAGGATCAGAGGGGAAACTAGATTTGCTTTACTGATCATCTGAAATTCTCCCCCTTCTATCCTGAGATAAGCAGCTAGTTCATTCCGAAGTAAAACAAACAGACGGGCCTTCGCAACCGTCATTTTCGTCGTCACGAAACGCTTCTCCTAACAGAAAAATCTAAAACTTGTCACTTTTCCCACAAATTTTCCTCAGCCCACCGCCATTAGCTGCCATTCATCCCGGCCCAGCCGCGCCTGTTACGCAGATTACAAGGATTTTTTTTAAACTAGCCTTAGAGCAGCCAGGTTGAGCGGTCACGCGTTTACCACTCGCTTTCAGTGCGCGTGATCTCATATCATTATTTCCGCAGGGTCTCTCAAAAGAAGTCTGGTACGAGTCAGCTGATGTGGTGGTAGGCATGCTCCCGCGTCCTGCCCGCGTATCGGAACTGGACAATGGAACAATGAACTTTTCAAAGATGAACGTACATGACATTTGACAAAGTCCAATAGTCTTTTTGCCGACGCAGGGATGAGAATAGTCCAGTGTTGATTAGTAGACATTTTATGTCCGATGTTGAAGACAAAGAAGGATGCCGAGTTAAAGGCACCGGGGGGATGACTCTTATGTCAATGCTCGCAGGAAAATGTAATGAGACCACCACTCTGGGCGTGACTCGAGCTTTATTTAACCCAGGGTGAAAGATACCACTTAAAAGTGGACGTGGTAGCGTTTTTTAATTAATTCTTTGAGTGCCACACTAAAGGATACCTTGATGGCTAACAAATAGTGGGATTCCGTCCTGAACGTCCTAAATTAAAGTGAGATCAAAATCCCCGATTTACACTCCTAAGCGAGACACCTTTTCACATATTTCGTGTGGGTGTATCTTAACTTGCGGGGTTGAAAGTTCGATGCTGTTAATTTTTAAGTTGGACATTGAGCAGTCTGAGTAGCCTCTTATGTGGAGGCTCTACTGGCCCGTCACGCAGTCTTACCCCCTGGCTGACATGATGTGGAATTACACCCAAATTTTTTGGAGGGATATGGATTTGCTTACATCAGCTGTGTTAGAACAAACAATCCCTTCAGAAATCTAGATATGCGCACACAGAGGTGATCAGGGAGTAATGCAGTGAAAATTTTGCCTGGTCGTTCTTCTTAAAACCAACAGTAAGTACGCTTTTATATAGATCGCACTTTTAAGTTGTGCGAGGCAATTTTTCGTAACAGTAGATTTTTTCTGAAGTGATCCGTTCACAAACGACATCATTTCCGGTCACAGGTTACTCCGTGAGGCAAACCAGACGAGCACGCGTTTTTCTTGAAGAGGAAAGGATCATTCTCGCAATGGGATTAATATCAAAGAACATAACAAGCACAGGCGATCTCCAAGCCACTTCTGAAGTGGGAGATAATTTACTTCTTCTCTCAGCTTCTACGGGTATCTTTGTGATGTCTTGCATTGCCTTCTTCATTTACTACCATATGCAAGTGTGTCGTTACATTGTGGAAACGCGTATGGGAACTCGACACAATAATTACTTTCCCAATTATTATTCAAAGCGTTCATAAAGAAGGATCGAGCTGTAGTCAACGCGGGTTTCTCCTATTAGTAGTCCAGTTTTGAGCTGTCTGCCGTCACGCTAAGAGTACAGTTGGTGGTTTTGCGTGACAGACATTTTCACTGCCCTAACTCTTCAGCCCCCTTGTTAGGGGAAAATATTGACAAAATGCTTCCAAGAAGTAGTTACGATTACGGAGAAACGAGAGGACGACGGAAATTCCATGTTAGCAGTGGTATGAATGATGATGATCGATCGCCAGCCTTAAGCTCTGTTCAGCAAAGGAGCGCACACCGGCTTGGACTGGCCTGCGAACAAGCTTTCTAGTCGAGGATGGGACGAAGGGAGAGCAGGAAGAAAGAGAAGAGAGACGAGGGGAGAGAGAGGAGGAGAGAGGATGGGAGAGCCTCCGCAGTCCCAACTACCCTCGGCCAATCCTCTCTCATCCAGTTCTTTCTTGGCCCTTACCCGGTAGTCAGACCCTTTCAGCCGGATCCGGAGCCTGTTAACTGGCTAGCTTGGACTCGCAAGAACAGAGCAGATTGAATTTGCGATTGTGCAGAATTTCATGAAATTGGTGATTTCGATCTTTAGGATGAATCAGTGCTTATGTCAAGATTATCTAGTTCACGTTGTCTGAGGACTAATTTACGTTCAGGTTTTCCTCAGAAAGGGCGGGGGGTGTTAAGCAGTCAGTGACGCCGCAAGCTTCTCGAAGACAAGAAGATTTTTCGGTGTTGAGCGCATCAGTAGGGCGTTCTGCCATTGAACTATGCGGGACTACAAGAGATCTAGACTAGCTGGGACCAGTACATTTTTTGGTGTGTGTAGCTTCACATAATCAGGAGATAATGTAATATAAGCTCATATACCCGGTTCATATATAGCATCAGCTTTTTTTGTCTAAATAATCCATTGTTCGGTCACTGAATTGTCATGATATC